TTAATTAAAAATTCCCAAAATGACATGCAACAGAATTGAGCCGTCATATTTGTTAGTTGCTTATACAAAACTCTTTCGGTAAATTAAAAGATTTGGCACTGTACAGTATTTACTATGCCAAATATTTCGTCTTTATGCATGTGACTCGTAAAATTCATTTACAAAATAATGACCATACATACAAAGTGTCCTAATTTTTTTGGCTGCCTCCATACAAAAGGTTTTTAATACAGATAAAGAAAAATTAGTATTAATAACGGAAATTACAAAAGGAAATCAAACAATTATTATAGCACTTTAACAAATACTATGAATTTATATGCATATGAATAATTATTAAATAAAAACTCATATTTATTGGAAAGCAATAGAAATTTTTCAATTAAATTAGATGAACATAAACTATTATATTTATTTAATTTCTTGAAAACACCAACAAATCATTACTTATTATTTAAATAAAAGAATAAAAGACGCTGCTATCATTTTTTTAAATAATCAAAATTATTCCGTTATTATTTGAAAATTACTTATAAAACTTTTCAATAAAGCTTTAAATCAACAATCGATTTACGAAGTCATTTTTAAGTTATTTAAAATTCGAGTAATAAAATTAACTCGATTATAACCTAAAATATTCTAAAAAATAGTGTATTTTAATTAATTTTATATTGTATACGTATCTTTAACTTTATCAATACAAAAGGTTAATTTCAAAAGTTGTTATACTTTATACGTATATAGTAAACGGTTATGGTGAATGTTTAATTCATAAAAACATTCAAAACAAACCTGTTACATAACAATAAACAGCAGTAACGTAGCCTACTTTCAAAACTTAAATAAAAACAAAACGGAAATAAATGATAAAATCAGTAAACACTTTTAACAATTAACACTTAAATATTAATATAACGCACGTTTATTTTATAAACTTTTATTATTGCTTTTAAATTTATAAAGAAGGAATAAAATTTGAAGTTAAAGAGGGGGATACACAGAGCAAGAGAGAGCGATAGAACGACGGGCGTGCAGTCGCGGCGTCATACGAAATAACACTGCTACGGAAAATCGTAGCATCTCGTAGCTGCGCGTAGATGAGCTACGAATTCGAGTATACTATAAGCTTACCGCACACACATGTCGATTCTCGTAATATTTCGCAAACTCTAAAAGAACTCCCGAGGGCAAAATTATTGGGGACTGTGAATCCTTTGCGCAATAACTAAAAAGAGCGACGTTTCTGGTTTGTGGAAAATATTTTCAAAACATGCGTTCATCTTCGTACATTTTCGAACTTTTTTGTTTAATAAAGTGGTCTTTTTACTTTAAACTTTAAAACAGTTTTGTACAACGTACTTACATATGAAACTTGAAATTCAATTAAGAATAAATAAGTATACTTGAAGCAGGAAATACGTCATAAATTAACACATCGCTTGCAGTTTCGCTTATAACAAAAATATTAGAAGGATAACATTGCTAACATAACAAAAATCTTCCTTTATGATGTAACGTTCAGTGTGAGCAAAAACCCAATGGAGGGTCAAATCCAATCGTATCAAATATTAACACATAAATATTTATTTCAAGGATAATTTGGTCAGGAAACTCCGCAAGATCAGCAATTATTTGAAACAAATAACAAATCAATGTCAACTATGTAATTATTAAACAATTTTTACGCTATTAATAGGTCAGTTTCGGGAGTCTACGAATACGTCTTAAACATATTATAAAATGATGGTTGTTTGTGAACTAGAGGTATTCTCGGTGTACAGAGATTTATAAGAAATGGCGCTATTTTTTAATAATAATATGATAAATAAAAAAATAAGAGATTAAGTTAGGTTCTCATGATATTAATTAACTAATTTTAAGTAAGAGGTGTAAACTGGTTAAGTTATTCTGCTGTGTGAGTCGCAGCGGTTTTCAAATTAAGGCCGCGTACAGACGCGGACGCTTGAAAAGACACTGTAATTACGCTCTAAAATATTCAAGCGGAATAAAACTAGATGACGGGATGTGACGTCACATCGCGCAACAATTTTTTTTTATTAAGATATGCTAACGATTCATAGAGTTATGGTTATTTTTTTATTTATAAGATGGCAAACCAGCCACTGAAATAGCAATGCGACCACTGCCCATAGACGTCCACAATTGCAGATGAGTTGCCTACCTGCAATAGACGGAAGAAGGGACGCACAAAAGACTACATTTTCCATAAGAATCGCAGAATTGCTTCCAATTTACGCCTGTCTTCTGTGTGGTAGTAGAATTGCACCGGGCCAACAAGCCTGTTCGTGCAACAGATGTTGTTGGCGTCTACCACTGTGATGATTATTATGAAAGAAAAATTACTTCCTCATTCACTGGTTTAATAAAAACTACAAAATTACATTTTTTCTATAAGAATAGGAAATATATTATATCGTACAATGAACGGTAAGCTTCCTCTTTTCGTGGCAACAATCAAAGATTCTTACAAAGTAGGTCAACGTACTGAGGAAAATCATTAAGCTATTATACTATATAATATTTTTATTCGATGGTTAGATGAGATGAATGAAACCTTACAGCTGTAATCTACATAGCAATTTCTACTTATAAAAATATATTGACCATTTAAAGAGTACGTAATAACTTGGTTACCTGTATACGACGTTACATGTCTAAGATTTACCGTCTATAAAAAAGAATAGTAACAAGAAATATATGTTAAGCCAAACTTAAAATATGTTAAATATCTAAATTTAAATAAATTGTTAATATTATGTCTAAGAAATTTTGTTTTTCTCCTTAAAAACAGAGGAGCTTAAAGCGTACCGCGAGCTAAATGCTAATTCAAGTCGAAACTTATTATAACTTTCGGAATTTTCCAGGCGCTTATTTTATAAGTTATCTTCGATTCATATCTGTACTGTAAAATAAGTATGAATTTTGGTTGTGAATCTTAAATATGACTATATTAAAAGATATTCATTTTATAATCTAAAATCCTATTAATTCATTGATCTTTTAACTAATGTTTATAATCAAGAAAGTCACAATGGATCTAATTAAAACAGTCTGCAAATTCACAAAAAATAATAAAGAGAATCGCCTTTAACATATAGAGGAAGAAAGAGGATCATTGACGTCATTATATACTTTATTTTAACGGTACTTTCAAAATGCATAGAAATATTTTAAGAAGTGAGCGACGGGCAGCGTCCGTGAAATAATACCAGTACCACTCATGCTGATGAAGGGCCCCCGATGGGCTCGAAACTAGTCGGTGCCGCCACCGGACGAATATAAGTGAGTGTTTAGCCGTGTTTATATATCAGTTTACTATAATGTCTCACGAAAGTTTGAATAATTTAATATTTTAAGACAATATAATGTACTTTGTATTGTTTTGACATAGTCTATTGATCCGCAATTCTTAACTACTAGATGCGTGGAAAGGCTTGATGTAAAATGAATTAGCATATTTCGCTTTTATGCAGCGAATTCCTAATTTATCTCATAGACGCTTGTATCAGTGCTTGGCAGCCGACATCCATTTGCAGGACGTCCTACTTGACAGATAACTAAGACGAATAGCTGCAGTTCACCAAACTACTCACAGCTGAATCGAATTGACACCACAAAGATTACTTGAAATAATTTTTAAATTTGTATTAATTTAAAGATAATTTTATACTGGATTTCCTAAATTAAATATCAAGAAATTATTTATATAGTAGGCTTATATGATAAACGTACGACAGTAAAAACATATGACATATAAGTGGAACTAATCAACTGGTCAATGGTTAAACTTCTGGTGAAAGTTGTCGAAGCTTTTAAGGCATTATTCAGCACAAAAGAGTATTATTATGTTCGTAATCTGATTAAGATAGTCAAAAACTGTCTCTACATAGAGTACATATAACAAGACCAGAGATAAACTACTAAAGTTTATTAGCAAAAGGTTCAACACGAATATTGAATAATAAAACGTAACTGTGAAGATTCTTTACTATTTAAATGTTAACAAAAAACTTTATCAATGTCTTCAGCCGTGTGTATTTAATAAATGCTGCTGACATAAATCGAATATCCGCTGCGCGCCTTCTTACAAATGAATAAGATTTAGATTTGCATATCAAATTCATCGAGAGTTCCTTCTTCGAGAGATTGCTTTGGATTGTAATAAAGATGGATTATAGATGTCTTTCGCATTTAAATGAATTCAGATGCACTGAATATTGATTGATGACAGAGAAAACATTAAATTTGAGTTAAGAAATTGAATTTAAAAAAAATTAATTCAACTTTTCATTTGTTTACCATACAATGGAATTTGAAAATTAAAGAATGATAGCCTCACGTAATATGTTCGATGGTAAATTTAATCTTTTCCAAAGTATAGTCAAATTAACCAAATAAAGTTTAAAAAAATTAAGTATTAAAAACGTAACCATATAAAAACTTATACTTTTTTTCAATTACATTTTAACACTTTTATGCTACGCTGATATTAGACATTACCAGAAATCATAATTATTGTTATGTAATTACGCATAGGCTTCCGAAATACGATTTTACAAATACAAATAAATAACAAAGTATAATACTTATACCGGGAGCAATTTTGGTAGTACTTATTTAAGGGTAAAACATACCCTTTTTTCACAACTTTGACGTTCATAATATCAATCACCGGCGATCAAAGTATTAAAACACACTTCCAACAGCATTTTTAAAATAATACAGTAAAAATATTGGTATAAAAGAGTTTGCATGTGTATTTTCACCAACAGATGGCTAATTGGAAAAAAAATTCGTAGACGACCTCTATAAAGGCTTGGCGAAAACAGTTACGTTCGCCAACTGAAATGAACAGCGGTGAAACTCTTTCACAATAGATGGCGCTGATAACGAAGAACTTGATTTAAATCAAAACATGAAAGAAATAATGCACTAAACATAATCATAATAGTAGAGTTGTAATAAAATTAAAAACTTACCCCAGAGTTTTTGTAGTGATGAGAGGTGTTTTCAAGTTTAAAAACCCATTTAATCTGGTTATGTTTTTCTCTCTTCCGCTGTCTGATCCAGACTGGTCGGCTCTGAAACAATGGATGAAGATTTTATATCCTTCAATTTGTATACTAAAACATACTATTTTTTTTACATTTTTATTTAAACTTAATAAAATGAAGAAAAATCAAGTACCAAGTTTTACTTCTACAAATAGTTAATCGTTTTAATAATAGATGGCGCTGTTCATAATATTTTAACAATTTAATTATACAATAATGGAATAATCTATACAAGAATAATCTTATTCAAGGCTTCTAATGTCGACCCACCTGTACAATTTTTTACTTAAAGTAATTTGTACAATAAGTGTAATAAAGTTGTTCTTTATTGATAATTTAGTATGAAAATTATTTATTTGTCATCAACAACTTTTTTTCTGAAAAATATCGTTAATTTAAACTGCGATAAACACTTAGAAAGAAAAAATTAATTGAACAGAACAAAATTGGTTCTGTACAATTATTCAGTCCACGCGACAGAGCTTTTCAATTTGAAAATTGGGCTTGCATTCAGTCAATCAACCTTTTGGGAAACATTGACGAACGCAATTTCAAGCGGTTAAATTCACTGCTGCCGACCAATTTTCGTATACATAGGTCTCATTGTTTGACACAAATGTACAAGTTAATGTGTTTTAAGTTACACTTGTGCACTTGTAAAGTAAGAAATAATTCTTCATTTTAAAATAATAACAAAAGTTTTCTTTCGATCAGGGACTTATCGTGGGTTTCTGAGACCGGAATTTCTTATATTATCCTTGACAAAACAGAGATAGCAATATGTTTTAAATAGAGATTTTGATCTAGGAAACCATATGGCAATGAATCTTGCAGTCAAACTCTATGTCAAACTTTATTAGTCCAGAAATCGAATAAATAAAGAAACGTATCTCTGAATAGAAATTACGTCTTTCAAAAGACGCTATAAAACAATGGGGTAAATTGAAAAGCAGTTTTAAAAGTTCTTTTTCAGTTGTAGATTCGCCTTCATTTACATACTATTATCATTCAAATAAAGCGCTGCACTGATTCTATTGACTATTTCCGTCGTACGTCCCTTCTAATTAAATTCTTCGAAATCTGTTTCAAAAGTCGTTGAATTACTTTTTTCTCTTTCATATTTCCTTTTCTAAATTAAAAAAAATGTTCAATAGAAAGCAATAAAATAGAATGCAATTATGTTGAGGTAACTAATAAATTTAATTTCCACAACGCTATCACATCTCCATCCTTCCAACATGGCGTTAGTTCCGCCCTACATATCACAGCGGCAATTTAGCGCTCCCGACGCGTCCCACACAATTACTACTAATTGTAAACTAATTTATATGCATTTAAACTGAATTGAAATCACTTATATAACTACATAAATATTCGCTATGTTCTTATATAGAACCTGGTATGTATTTTTTTTTTAATTATTTTAAAGCATTTTTTTAGTTTTTTAAAATATAAACTAATATATAACTAACTTATGTATAATGTTAGTTATATATTAGTTTGGATAGAATGGATGGAAGTTTGTTTGATGGTAACTCCAGAACAGCTAAACAGATAATGTTGAAATTTAGCATAGATGTAGAACATTGTCTGGAAGAACACATAGACTACTTTTTAAGTTCTTTTTTTAATTCCGTGCAGACGGACAGTCACAGGCGACAGCTAATATAAAAATATTTTGAACTTTGAAAATGCATGTTTAAATCATTACATATATTTTAGATATTCTCTTTTATAAAATATATTTTTATCACACGTTAAAAAATACACTTACTAACAATGACATCTTAGTATGATGGAGGCGACTTTATTGTTCTTAGCAGTCACCTTGACCTTGAAATATGTCGCAGTCTCCATTTATTGATGTTAAAACCACTTAATATCTATTCAATCTATTTCTATTTACTAGATAGAATATCCTTAAATAAAATAAATAAATCACAACAGTTTAAAAACATGAATTTATCTATTTTTATATACTGAGATTATATTTGTAGAATTATAATAGTATATATTAATAATAATACTTAATTAAAATTTCGTTTTTTTCCTTATTTAAATTACCCAAGAATTAACAAAAAAAAATATTTGCAATAAAATTAACATGATTAATTCCACTTTACACATTTATTTCATTTTACATTATACAATGGATAAAATATACAACCACCTCGGAACATGGTATAAAAACTACGTTTAACTAAAAAAAGTAAAAGCTCTCACGAATTTTCAATCCGCCATTGTCTTTCAAGTTATATGAGTATTCTTGGCAGCCAACGTGTTCTTATTGTTTATTATGCAAGCTTTTCCACAAAAAAAATCCTTCACAATTTCTTGCTTAAAAATAGTCTCGTACTTTTTGCTTATAGTCAGACTAAAATTATTTATTTGTGTATTCTGAGGAGGATTCAATACTCCTGGATATATATTATGATTTAGTCTACCCATTCTATTTGTTAACGTCTTCATAAACCACGTCTCCATAGACATATTAGTAACTATCTCATATTACTTTTATATTAGTTACTTCACTAGTCAGAAAGGCACCTCAAGTAGTTAAAATAATCGTTATTCATCACCATCATATAGCCTATGTCACCTGGGGATAGTGTGCTTTCCGACAGTGAAAGAATTTTTTAAATCGGTTCAATACTTTCGGAACCTATTCAATGCAAAGAAACAATCAAATCTTTCCCCTTTATAATATTTTCTTTATGATAAACAACAGTAAAAAGACTAGACTGTCGCCATTACGTCGCCGGTCTCTATAAGTGGTCTTTCATAGCTCCAATTGTAGCGATTACTTGGCGTATTGACATTAATGGCAATGATTAACATTCTCTTTACAATCCAGTATAAGTACAGGGTTTTGCCCTTAAACTTTTTTCTTTTGAGGAAACTTTTTATTTAGGCATATTAATTAAACTTTACGTTTGCTACGCACTTTGCTATACGCACTAAATTAGATTGCAATATTTCACTTGTTTCATGTCTGTAAAATTTAAAAAGCTCACATTATAATAAAAGCTGCTGAGCTTTTAGTATTGTACTATAAACTTAACATTTTTATCTTACAACCTTTGACATTTAATTATCTTTACAGATAACGTTGAGGAAAATTGCTACGGAGACAAAGATAATAGTGATATAGATGATAGTGAAATATTATATTATAAAAGCTTTTAACATAGACTACTTTTTTTAAGATAAATAAATGAAAACTCTTAAAACATAAATGTCCTTTGACATATTTATTAATAATATATATGACAATATTTATCGCTTTTTTCTTCGATTATAAAAAAGAGAACTGTTTTGTAATTAAAACTATCGTAAGAAAACAATAAATTGCGAAAAATCGAAGATAACATAACATCATAACATCGATATCATATTATGGAACATTAAGCAGGTCGAATGAAGTACTCGCAATAAATTGCTTATTGTGGGAACCAATCAGTGGATGTCTGAAAGCGTGTAATTTGTGTTAGCTGTGATAATGACTATTATTGTGGGTAAAATTGCGTAATATATTATAGATATTTATTTATTTACTAATACATATATGTATTTATTTGATATAAAATATAAGATAACGTTAAATAACATTAATAACTATCAATATTATAATAGCCATGGAATTATCTATTGCTTAATTCCTTCGTAGAAATATTATGGAGGTGACAACATGTTATCATCGTAATAATATCGGATAAATGTACATATGTTTGAAAATAGAAAACACAGCGGTACATAACAGGAATTGAACACAGGAACAAAGATATTGTGGTCGGATGTTCTCCGTTGAGCCTATCGAATAATCACCCTTCTGGGATTTAAACTTTTTTTTCCTATGGAATCAACCGGTCTTATAGGAAATATACAAGTAATTATATTCTGAAATTCGAATCCTCGAATGTATATTAATACACAAAATAAACTGTGAAGAAGATTTAACAGCTTGCGATAGACCACAAAGGGTTGTCAGGGTTAAATAGCACTCAAGTCACACAATCAACAATATTAACCCTTCAAGTTTAGGTCAAGTTACAAAGGCGAGCGCTTTCGTGCTTAATTGTCTATAAGCAATGGAAGCGACAAACGTAAGTGCTATCTAACTTAACGATGACTTACAATGATTTAAGTAAAAAAAATTAAGTTGCTGTTTTTATATACTTAAATATTATAAAATCGTAGTATCCTAATTCTTTGGAAATTAATTATTAGCAAGTTAATTTAAATTAAAAGTTGCCCAACGTTTTATTCGCGGGAAAATAACCAGCTCATACAAGTCTTCCGCAGTCCATGGATCTGCTTTATAAATAGAGCCGTCTTCAAAATATTCTTGGTTATTTGTAGCCGAGTGAAATTTTGAAACATAAATGAGGTTTTATAAAAAAATATGTTACTACTAAAAGACGTTAACTAATTTACATTCAATCTATGCTGTTACAATTCTTATTCGTAAAGAGAGAATTTGACACATTTTGATACAAATTAGGGACAGCTGCATAACACGAGTTATCATTTATTTCGTTTAATATATTTCTAAATTTTTATGTAGTATCTTACCGCATCCATAAATAACGATTAGGTTTCAGCACTTCAGTTTTTTCATGAATAATTCAGTAGAAGTTCGTACGCTTCGGGGAATGTAATAAGTTTGAAACTCAAGCAAGGCCTTGCGACCGATGTACGTTGTTGCATTAATTCTTATTACAGCGTTTCCTGCATATTTTTAACACTAAGTAATATTCTGTGAACCGGGTCACTGTTCCATGATAACTACAATCTGACAAGACAGCAACTACAGAGAAGAAAAATATCGTGACTCCGTCCGCGTGGGATTATAAATAGATAGTGGCTGATTCTCAGATCTACAGAATGTACATTTCATAAAAAACGATCAAGCCCTTTCGGAGGAGTATGATAACTAACATTGTGACACGAGAATTTTATATATAAGATATACACCTTTATAATTACTAGCTTAGAACTTCAATTGTTTGTTGACAATCAATCAATTT